ATATATATATATATATATATATATATATATATATATATATTGCTATTGACCTATTATTTCAAGACAACAAAATAAAGTGTTCTTAAGGATACACCGTTCTTCTATAATTTGTGACTTTTTTCTGGATAACCTATTCTAACTAATCTAACTAACTTTTCAAATGTCGATTTTTCATTCTATAAAAACTTTTAAAACGATCAGGATCATCTAGTATTTACACGGAGTATATGCCATGAGAAAAGCAATTTTTACAGTAAAATGAATGGACCCAGTAATGAACATTTCTCCAGTTCAACACATTTCAAAATTTACAAATTTTTCTGTACTAATGTTAAGCACGTGATTTGCATAAATATGTACAACCGTTTCCGTAACTTGTACGGAAAACTCAATTTTCTTTGGTAAAATGGGGGGGGGATATTTACTTAGCCACAATGCCACACCCACAAGGATAACAAATTTTGTTTTTAATTTTATTATACTAATATTAAAATATTTATGAACTACACATTGATTTTTACAAAATTGTTCACGAATATCTGTTTTATACGAACAAACACCAACATTTGATTCAACATAGTGTATTATTTTATTTTATAGAACAGTTGATACGATAATAATTATTCAACTATATTTCGATAAAAAGTGAAATAACTATAAAAATATCAATTTTATTTAATATTTATTAAGTTTTTTTTTTATTGATTTATTTTTATATTTATAATTCAATCATTCTAATTTATATCATTTAAATTATTTATGTACCTTATTAATATTCAATGGGGGTATGGGTTAGTTTGACTTGTAAGAAGTTCTGCAAACTTTCTAACATAATCTTGTAAAGAAGAAATTGTGTAAAGCTTTGAGTTATAGCAGATAAGAGCCTAAGAATTATTATGTTACTGTCAGCGCTGTAACCAAGGGTGGTTAGGTTGTCCCCTCCCCCCAACATTGATTTTTATTTAGTTATTTAGTAAGTTAGCGATCAAAACAAGTATACTACGGTTAATGTAATAAAGTTTAAATACTATTAACATTAAATGTTTAAAATAAAGTACAAAATAATCAAAACTATGTTTTATAATATAAACTATTGTATATACCTAAACCATAAATGCCGCCTTTGAAAAATTCTGGATACGCCATTGCTTACCAGAAAAGATGATAATTTAGGAGTTCTCATTATTCGATAATTTCCTATAATCATTGTTGATAGATATTGATGAATGATGATGTTAGACATAGTTGAATATTCTGTAGTTATATTTACTTTCCGTATCGAACAACTCTGTGGATCGTATCGTATCGTAAGTCTATTAAAACACTGCGCTACCGTCATAACAATACCTCATATCTATATTTTTTCCGAAAATTATGTTTTGGTACAACTGATAGCTTATATAAAGGGGTGTGAAGATACGAAATTACCACCACAATATTATTTCTTTTGTATTTATTGTAAACATGACCATTTTTTTAGTTAATTATTGTTGTATCACGTCACGTTTCCGACCATGAATTATTTTATGTACACCACGTCCCACTCGTCAAGCGTATGACTCATCAATAACATCAAATTCACTAAGTTTTTTTCAGAATTTTTTCAAATAAAAAACCATTTTCATGCTTAATTTAACACCAGCTTAAACATTTACAAAACTGTAAGCTTAAAAGAACAATCAATATTCATTGGTTCGTCTTGAAACCTAAACCAAAAATATCATCTTGTCCTTCTACTTAAAGATAAATTAACTTCAAATTTACGGTGTTTTTTTTAAAGTTATTTAAAATTACAT